AATAGTGAAGTTTTACTTTAATTAGGCATTCATAATATTTCTGGCTTTGATATCTTTGAAAAATATTGAAAAAGAAAAAATGAACTATAGATATATAGTCTTCGTTCTATCAATTATCATCAGACGATGTTATGTTATACAAAATATCAATGACTTATTTCTATCATAATTTGATAATTATATCAAATATCACAAAAGTCATTTTAATTTGATAAATTATTCCTCCTGGTGTATAACACCTACGACATTTTATTGTTAACGTGTCAAAGATATTTGATTACAATGCTCTTGTAACGTATATATTATTATCATGTAATTGTTATTAAAGTAATTAAATTTGCTTGTTTATTCAAGAAAATTTATTCAATTTAATTCATAACATATATTTAAAATAATAATTCATTTTGTGTCATTACAGATTAATCTGTTAATAAATTTAATATACCTATGCCTTCTGTTGTATTATATTGATATAAATTTTAATTGAATATATATATATATATATATATGTGTGTGTGTATTTATATCGAATATAATTACAATTATTTAAATACGAAGAGTTTAGTAATTTTGCTATTAAATAATAGATAAAATTGATAAATTATATTTTAACAATAGAATATAATAATATAAATTTGTATTATTTACTAATCTTATACTTTGAAATTTAAAGAAGATTATACTCAATTCAACGATTCAATTGATAAGAATCGATATTAAAGTAAAAGTGGATATATATGGATTACAGAAAAGAAGGATATATGTATATTCATCCGATGGTAAATCTTTTTCAAAAAGGGCTTAGCAAGTGCGTAACTTTGAAAGATTATTATAATTATTAAAGAAATCTTTAATATATCTCTCTCATCCTTTCATTAAGTTTCTTTCTATTTAATCCTACTCTACGTTTATTAAAATTCATTGATAACATTGTTCGTTTATTCAATTAAATTGTCTTGAAACATTAACTTTTTCATCTATCATTAAATTATATTGAAATTATAATTATTATAATACACCCACTGTATATATATATGTATAAAATTCTTCTTTCCTTCTTTTATATAAGAAAAATCTTTGATGCATTTTTCTTCGTAAGGAAGAAGTTCCTAGGTTGATTTTATCGGTCACGTCTCAACGGTACGTCTTTGTTTCCTTATCTCATCTCTTCTCTCACGTATATAAGATTAATGTCATTCGTAGTGAGCCAAAAGTGTGCTACTGCAACCAATACAGTATTAAACTGTATTTTCTCTTTAGGTAAGAATTAAAAGGATTATTCAAGTAAATCGATGCCAAAAAGGACATAGTTTCATTTTATTGAGTTAAAATAAATTGAAAGTAAAGTAAATTTACCAACGATAAACCAAATGTTACTTTAGAATAATATTTTTATATTTTATTTAATAATTAAATATAAAAATAAATATTAAATAATTAAATAATAAAATATTAACATAAAAATAATAAAATTTATATTAAATATTATAATAAATATTATAATAAAATAATTTTATTTCAAAATTATTCTATATTTATTAATTTTATTCTAATTAAATTTTATTAAATATCGTTTTATTACAAAAATAAATATTATTCATGAAAAATTTGTTTGTATTTTTGTTTTCATTTCTTATGCGTTTACTTTCTAACTCTGTATTCTATCATTTAAATGAGAGAATTAAATGAAAGATAGGTAAAAGTAAACAACAACAATCAGGTATAAGTACGTTTATTTAAACAGAGAAACCAAACTTGTACTAATCAAGAGTAAGCTTGGCAATATGGCATATAATAGGAAGATATATACTTTGTATCTTCTAAAAGAGCTTTATGAATTATGGTTTAATAGATATTATTGTCTCTCGTTAATATTATAATCTTTCTTTCTCAAAGAGAGTATTAGATTTGCTCAAACGATTATAGAGAATTCATTGAAATCATTTCATGCAATTGTTTATACATTTCAATTAATAACAATAATATATTAGGATTAAAACATTTTCTTTAATCAAATATTAGTTCATGTTATATTCTAAATTTCATTTATTATTATTATTATGTTTTCTCGCAATTATGGTTTTTGAAAAAATAAAAATAAAATAGGTAAAATCTATGAATTGTTGAAATACATGCTTGGTGGTGTAGATTTGAATGCAATTTCCAGTTTCATAGCTGTGCATTACCTTTGTGTATCTAAACGAATGCCTCCGGCAAATCTCACATTTCTCATAAGTTTACCTTCAGCTAATACATAATAATAATGTGTATAATAACCGAATTCGTGAATACTATGTAAATGATATTGTGTATTATTGCATTACTATTATATTTGAACTTAGTTAATGTTTTCGCTTTTTTGTTTCTTTTCAACTTACTCATCAATTAACATTTACTTTGGCAATCTTGATGACAAATCGACTGAAAATCGACTCACTAGTCTTCAGTTTCACTCCTGATAATATCAACGGTAACTATGTGAGTGCGTATGTATGTGTTTATGTGCTTGGCAGCAAAGTGATGGATTGCTGGCTTAACGTTGGCTTCTATACAGTAACCGTAATATCATAACTTTATACGATACCTTCTGTTGGAACTTGTACAATTGTAGATACAGTTTCACTGATTAAATTTTCCTAAGTATAGAAATAACTTATAATAATGTTTGATAATGATATTTTTCTTCCTTAAAATTTCATTTCTCGTATTATTATTATTATTATTATTATTATTTTTTTTTTTTTTTCATTTATTCTTGTGAATGTTGTTTATTCAAAATATTACGATATATTTGTAATTATTTACACACAAAAATATTATCTCTTAATATAGTATGCATATAATTAAAATGAAATTATTTTTTAAATGTGTATTCAATTTTACGTTATGGAAATGAAATTGTTATTAAATTTATTTGACAAATAATTATGATCATTTTTACAGTAATATTCTCTCTACCAATCAAATTTAATTTTCAATTAAATTTAATCACTCTTTCTATAAATATATTTTTATTTAAATTTGAATAATAAAAATGTACAACATGTATATTTATTTATTTCATATGAATCCTAAATGGATACGATCGATAGAAAGATTACAATTCTTTTGCAAATTTACGTTTATAATTAATTTCATCAAAAACTTCTCAATTAGAACAATCGATTAAATTTCGACACGAAATCGTTTAAAAAATAGAACAAACTGTTGAATCAAACCTGTCAGTTCGAAAAACCAGTCGTCGATAACTACGTGGTTCATTATTTAATCAATTTTTGCCAATTTCCCTTGATTAACTCGAGTGCAATATCTTGATGAAAGGTTTAATCAACTTTCAATAAACTCGATATATATATATATACACCAGTTATTAATCTCTCTTCTTCCCTTTTTTTCATTTCCTTTTTTTTCATTCATATTTCCGTTGATTTTAATCGATATAAAAAAAAAAAAAAAAATTCATTGTGTAACATTTTATTTAAAAAATAATCAATACAATAATCGTCTTAGAATCGAATATTTTGGAAATAATAAAGGTCACACACACACTCTTTCAATGGTTATTTTTTTCTAAACATTTTCTATTTAAAGTTTCAAACAGATTTAAAACAAGAACAATATTTTAATTCATCTTTTAAAATGAATAAATACTTATTTAAATATTATATCAATATGTAATTATGATTACATTTATTATTAATCGTTAATATATAATTACATTCAATTATAATGTATCCAAATTTTAAGATAACACCATAAGTCAGGATTAATATCTCAAATGATTATATATGAATTCATTATATAATAAAATATTGTGTTGATCTAACACGTAAAATCTTTTTTTTAGAACTTTTATCTTAGATTATGTCTTTTCCTTGTAAACGTTGCTTTTCTTGGTTCGATGATTCAGCAAAGGAAAGGTTGTATCTAACTTCGTTTTTATTAGGTGGTTCGGAAAGTCCTTTCGTTTTCTTCTTTTGTTAAAATGAAGATAATTTTTGCTTCGAGGTTAAACCTAAACCTTTCGAGTGGTCACAAATAGTTGAATTTGATAAATTTAATCTCTCATCGATCTCATGTGTTACTATTTGTCAGTTTGCATCAACTAATGTCATTATTGCATCAGCAAAAAACGAAACGACTTTTCGAGCCACCTAATAGTTCAATATTAAACAATTCTAAATTTTCTGATTTTTTATTTTATTTTATTTTTTTTTTTAAATCATCTCCTCGAATTTCTTTATTAAATATGTGCAAATGTAATTAAATACTTTTGTTGTTGTTTTCGTTATCATGAACGATTTTGATCATTTTTCGTATACGTTTGTGTAATTTAATGATTTTATGTTTTTTTTTTGTTTTTTTTTTTCTTTTTTTATCAAAAAATATTCTTTTGCTCAATCATCAAACGAATCGTATTAAAAGTGAAATATGTTAATTTGAAGTATAGGATCGTTATCAAGCTGGATGAAATAACCTTTGCTTGTTTGTCGAGTATTATATTTGTATCCTTGTAATTCGATACGCTATACGTACACGATAATGTATGGTACATGGTCAAATTAATAATAATGAACGAGGTATACTGCTTTGAAATAAGTGGAAAATGTTAGCCTAGAATGGTGGATCGCAAGGTGTGCTAGTTAATTAGGGTTCATTAATTATCACATCGTGTTACGGATAATGAGTTAATTACATCATTACGAAAGAGAAATAAAATTAAAGATAAAGATGAAGAAATAAATAGAATAAAATTGTGTTTCTTTAATCCACTTTTGACTTTTATAATATTTTCAATAGTAAAAATTCTTTTCTTTTTTTATTTTTTATTTTATTTTTACCATTTATCGACTAATTAAATTTGAAAAAAACGAAAATAATAATAATTTCATTGTAGGTAGTTTAATATTTTAATTAACGATATTCGATATAAAAAGAAATAGAAGAAACTTTCAAAAGAATATTATTAATTCATGTTCCTCTTTTTTTCTATTTTGCAGCACTGTTTTGCAATAACGTACAGAAGGGAAAATCAACGACAATACGAGTTGAAAGCGAGTACAGAAACGGACTGCAAACAGTGGATCGATGCTATACGAGAAGCCAGGTAACGGAATCACAGGGGATATCGTATATGACGGCAGAATTCTAAATGAGAATCATTAAAAGGGAATGGGAATAAATTATGGAAATCTGCTACCCGGTTGATTCGTAAATCACTAAACGTCTGACTACGGGATTGTGTGTTGTAATCTTTGGTTAAAGGTTCGGTTCTTTTTTTTATTCTTTTTTTCTTTTTTTTTCTTTTCCTCATGATTTACGACAGTTAAATCTCAAAGTACCGCGTGTGTACGGTTAATTGCATTTTCTTTTCTTTTCTTTTTTTCTCTTTTCTTTTTTATTTACCTTACTCTTTTTCATTCGTATTTTACAGAAATTATTTTACAAAAAAAAAAAAAAGGAATAGAAACAAATTATGGTAAAATCGTTGAACGTTGTAAAATAATACATTGATATTTTTATTTATATTTAATTTCAAAAATATCTGATTATTTGGAATCGGCAATAAGGTTGAATATTTAAGGATCAACGTCAAATAAATTCAACTTTGAATAATAAATTAGAGTAGTTTGTAAATGTTTGATCAAAATCTTTGCAAACTTCGAACAAATTTGAAATTTTACAAATTTGTCAATTATATTGACAACACATAATAGTACAGAAATAAAAAAAATATTAACCCTTAAAGCTCCGTAGACTCCGTGGCGTAGCCAAATATTTTTAAAGCTTTATGCTTAGGATGCTACAGTATCATAGATTGATAATTGTTATCTGTAGTTAAAATGTGCTCATGGATTGTTTAAGAAAGCACAGAAAAATTAAAAAAACAAAATTTTAAAAATTCTATAAGTAAATATTTAAAAAATAATACTTGTTATAATTAATTACAAGCAATCGTACAAATATTTGAAGGGTTAAGAAATGTTTGACAACATTTTTTTACAAAATAATACGAATATATTAAAGAAAGGGTTTTTTTTTTATTTAAAGAATAAATTTTACTTATGAAAAAGTAATTTTATTATTTTTTTATTATTATTTTATTTATTATTAATTCTATATTTACTTATAGAAAAATATCATCTTTTTCAACAAGATGATCAAAACTTACGATTAGTTTTATCTTTTATATTTGTTAGTGTAAAAAGTAAGTCTACAGGATAACAAGGGATTTGTTTTATCACATGTCTATTTACAAAATGACTGTATCAGGAATATAATATACTCAAGTAGAGACCTTTTAGCATTTTCCCTGTTTGCAAACACACAAGTATACATATATACTATTTATCCGATCAAGTGCTTAAACTATTTTCGATGTATTAACTCTTGAAGACAACCATCGATTTTCTCTCTCTTTCACAGCCACATAAACTTTGTTTATTATTCTTCCTCATGAAAATCCTATAATTTGAATAAATATTCGCTAGATATATTTATTTGTTTTCCGGTTATCTCACTTACACAGGCTTTAGTATAATCTATTAAATTAGGTTGAACCCATTGAGAATTATATCAGTTGTTTATTTTAGGTTTATAGAATGTTAACAGAGATAGATGAATTATAAGATAAATCTTTCTTTTTTTCTTCTTCTTCTTCTTTTGTTTAATATTATCTGTATTATATTATTTGATCATGTTTTTTTTTTTTTGTAATTTAAATTTGTTGATTTATTTGCAAATATATTATATAGGATTATTGTTATATTTCGTGCAAATTTAATTCCCTTTCGCTTTGAAAAATAACATCTTTCATTTGTTTTTTATTTTAAATAAATGTAATCTTTGTCATTTGTCAAAAATGCTATAATAATCATCAGTAAAAGGGATAACAATCGTTAATCCTCAGTAAAGAATATTACAATTTCATGCTTCATTAGCGTAATATAGCACAAAGACACAAAAAAAAAAGAAAGAAACCGGATTACATTTTTCTTTTCAACAGAATATACATCAAAGGGGATGAAAATATAAAAAATGAGATAAAAAGAGAGAGAGGGTTGAATATTAATATAGAAAATTAGGAGATAGTTCAACTACAATAGTTTTCTCGTAATATGAATTATTTGATGAAATGTGTGTGATAAACAAACAAAAATGTAAAAAGAATGAATAAATAAAATACATGTATAGAAAAATAAAATTAACGAAGGAAATATGCATAAATATATATTATAAATATATATTATAAATAATGCAAAAGTAATATGCATGAAATTATACACGTTCACGTGTCACAATAAATGGACATCGATTCGATTTTAAAATTTACAAATAATACAATATATATATACTTTTACATTTGAAAATCAAAATTACTAAATGAAAATGAATTTCAAAGTATAAAAGCAAGATTTTTATCTTTTGACAATCAATCAAAACTGATAAATATATTCAATATTAAATAACTTTTTGTTATCTTTCTTTCTCTCTCTCTCTCTCTCTTTTTTCTTTATATTTCACTTTCATTCCACAAATAAAATAAATTACGAGAGACGCAAGGGGGTAAAAATTATCTTTCGTACTTCTAGATTAATATTTAAATCCCTTGTTTATCTTTTTTTTTCATCTTTATTCTTTTTCGGTATACATAAATTTATGAGAAAAAAAAAAACGATTCTATTATTTATTATTTTTAATATAAGATTTTCAAGAAAAACAGGTAATCGCGTTATTCGTCTCTTTTATTATTTATTTGTAGATTTTCTCTTTCTACCTTTTCTCATATATATATATATATATATATATATATATATATATATATATATATATATATATATATCGTAATCAAAATAATAATACTCGTAGTTTTTTTGTTATATCAGTTTGAACTAAACGGAGTAGCTTCTTTTCCAGTTTTTCTATCAACTGCACTAGTTTTTCAATTGTACTTGGCTTGCACACACACATACACATACACAGAAACTGCAATACATACATGTTTGTTTGATATTTCTTTGTTGATATATATATCTATGTATCAGTTATATTTTTATGGTAAACATGATAGAAGGTTTTAATCTGTAATATTTGAACATACGTAAGACATAACAACTCAATACGAAAAGTATTATGGAATATAACTCTACTCTAATAAATTAGAAAAATATTTTTCCTTCGTGTATATATATTTTTTTTTTTGGTCACTCATGTAAACGTAAAGGTATATGCTTTTTGTTTCTTTTTCTTTTTCACAAAGATTTAAGTTTGTTTTTAATCTTTAATACATTAATGTGTTGTGTTGGTATATGATGTAATAAGTCGATGGGAATATTATTATGAGACGAGTATACTCTAATAAATTAAACAAGATTTTTTTCTTTTCATTTCATTTTCCAAGTCTTATTCTAATATTTATTATGAATTTTTATATATCTTTTTTTTTCTTTTTTTTTTGTAGTAAAAATAACATGAGAATTACTACTATTTGATTTTTGCATTGCTAATAAAAATAAACATATGGCAAATAAACATTTCTTTCGTTATATCAATTTCATCAAATTTTTTTTATGCTTTTAATGAAATTAAATTAATAAGCTGAAATTTTCTTCCACACAACTCTTTTCTTGATATTCTTTTATTTATTTATTTATGTTTTTTTGTTCTCTTCTTTTCTTTTTCTTTTCATAAGACTCCAATGGTCGATTGAATTGATTTATTGGTATTTTTTTACTCTCCTACTTTACAATGTTATTAAAAAAAAGAAAAACACAGAATTTTTCATAACATTTGTAGAACAATGATATCCTTTTTTTTTTTATTTACAATATTGTATTGTCTCTTCTTTTTTTTTAAATCTTTTTTTAATCAATTTCAAATCGAACATAGAAATAATTATCGATAAAATCAGTTTGAAATTGTTTATATCAAAAGAAAACGTAATGCATACATTATCTACGTAAATATACAAATAAATGAATAAACACTCACGTTACTACGTCAAATACATATGAAAGTTATGTTTGTGCATTGGTAACTTTGTTACAATTAATAACAAACGATTGGACGAAGGGATGAATAATCTAACTATCGAAAGTGAGAGAGAAAAAGAGAGAGAATATAATATTTCCCTTCATATATATGAATATATATGGGAGTGAGGAAGGGTGGAAAAGGAATGAGAAAAGGGTGGTAATAGAAATATATCGAATGAAACAGTTGTTGAAATGAAAATGTTATTGAAAGGGGTTGACTTTGTTAAATCACCAAAAATATTTTCAAAGTGACAAATTATTTAGAATTTCGCGATTTAAAAACAATGACAAATTTTACAATAATTGTAAATGTAAAATGGATAAATGCTTTTACAATGAATGTTTGGCAAATTGTGAGAAAAGAAACTTCGTTTAAAAATAGTTTTTAAAAGTATCGATTTTGATTTTAAAAATTGTCTTATATACAATTTGATAATCTAAAATTACAAATACTTTTGACTTTCTTTTAGAAGAAGAATGAAAGCAACGACTAATATATATATATATATATATATATATATATATATATATATATATGCAATTTTTAATATTTGCATATTGAATAATATGCAAATTTTTAAGTTAACTTTCTCATTCATAAATAATGATTTTAAATACGTGTAACATATACGTGCACCAGGTCAAAGATAGTCGATAAATTTTTTTACATGAAAAATTGTATAAATTTCTTCGTATAAATATTTCACATAATTTACAATTTTATCCTCTATTTCATTTTTATTTTATTTTATTTTTTATTTTAATCCAAGATCCACGTGCAATAGGAATTCCAACTAGTTTCAAGTAATTTCTTCCTTTTAAACTAAACTGTACTCTCATCAACGTAGCTAATCTACCTGTTGTGTCTCTGCATAGTTAATGATATTCATATCATTTTATTCTCTATGTATATATATATATATATATATCTAACGCGTAATAAAAGTTTAATATTATTTTTTATTAACGTAGAGGATCACGTTCGATCAAATCATTTTTCCTATAAGCTCAATTTTACAATCATCTCATCCAATATATTGTAGCTTTCATAGTTCACATAGATAATGGTATT